TTTTTGTGTGAAAATTTTCGATTTTGTATTTTACATTTTTAACTTTATTATGCTATAACTTTTTGAAAAATGTATGGATCAGTACAATTTTTTCATGAGGAGTTGTATTTATATACATCTTTCATTTGACATACTGTTTTTTTAAATCCGACCATTTCCCTATATAAGAGGGGGGTTCAAATCTAAAAAATGCATGTAGAAAGTAGAACTNATTTTTTTTATAGACGCATGATGTGTTTACCTATCATTTGGTATATTTTTTTTTTATATCTGACAATTTACCTGCCCACAGGGGGGGATTTAAAATGACAACTTTTTTACAAAAAATTTACTTTTTCAACTTAAATTTTGAAAGTGTTCCGGAAAGTCTGACACTTTNATTTTGAAAGTGTTCCGGAAGGTCTAACACTTTTATATATATCTTAAATTATAGCTTATGTAATATACTTTAATTTGAAAAAAAAAATTTCGGACTTTATTTTATCTTCACGGTGAAAATGGCTACCAAATGCTATTATTTTGTGAAAATTCTCGATTTTATTTTTTACATTTTTAACTTTATAATGCTATGACATATTGAAAAGTGTATGGATCAACATTATTTTTTTATGNTATTGAAAAGTGTATGGTTCAACATTATTTTTTTATGAGAAATAATATTTTTTAATAATCCCTTTTTCATTCGTCATACTTTATCTTAATTAGGATATTAATAANTTTTCATTCGTCATACTTTATCTTAATCAAGATATTAATAAGGAACTAGCAGATCATGTATCTTTTGGAATAAAACACCAATTTTTTTAAAATTAAACACTATCTAAAGATTTTCATCGAAGCGTTTTTTTTTTTATAGTTATTTTAATCACTGTCAGATATCATTATACTTGATCCATCTATGCCACGTCATCACTGTGCCGTGACCCCCCTGTGCTTTTTTTTAATTTATGCCTAATATACATAGCAATATTAGGTGGCTAATTAGGAACCTTCCGAATGGTAAATAATTCTTATCTGGAACTTTATAATACGAAAACGAGATAACTAATGTTTAGGCATCTAGACAATGTAGTAAAATTACTAATAACTCATAAAATAAACTTTCAGAAAAATTTACATTTTATAATGTTCTGTTTCTTTAATGAATAAGATAAATATAACACCTATCTAACTTTTTTTGTAAAATTGACAATTAAACACATTTTGATGTTGTTTATATTATTTTAAATGCATAACACTTTATGTTTTCGTGATGTATGGAGATGTTGATAATTGTATGATAATATTTTCAAATGAAGTAAAATTTTGGAATGCAAAATTAATTACTAACCATAATTCAATAAAGATACATATATCATTTCATTGATAAAGTTTTTTATCATTCCGATTTATTCCCCCATAAATTCAATATGTTGTCATAAGTTAAACAATGTGTTCATAGTAAAATCTCTCAAAATTTTTTTGTAATTACATAAATGCATATATATATATATATGTATATATTTAACAAACCATAGATATTTTGTCACAAATTTTCTTAATTTTACTAAAATTGTTATGATGAATTCACTTCATAACTTTTTTTATAAGGCACAACTTCGACATAAAACTCCAAAGATGTCACTTTAAACAGCTATCACAAAGGATTTATTAAACAAATACTGACTAAATTGAACATTTTAAATGTTCATATGTAATAAATGTACCAAATATTTCCTTTATTTACACCTTCTTAGTCTTGTTATTAAATAGCCACACTTTGTATACATGAGAATATTTATAGGAAATGTCTAGTAATACAAAAATCAAAAAATTTATGAATGATAAGGTATCGGAATATCAACAGATCAGAAAAAAAAACGGACGAAGTATGTGCTAATACAACATAAATATATCTGTAAAAATAAAATGTTCTTTGCTTCTTTTTCATTTTTTTTTATGTGGAGAGGGTGGGGAATTCCCAACATGTCATGAGTCAAATACTTTATTTACGTCATAGAACAATTTTTTTTTATCTCCACAAAACACAACAGTTAGTTTTTTCAATAATTGAATGAAAATTTGGAAAATAACACAAATAACTATACAGACAAATTGCAACGTTTTAAACTTTAAATGGCTTTCCTGAATTTTCGTAACGACTATTTTTGTTGGAAAAATTTATTATTTACCGATATTTATACACAATATAGTACATTGGACAATACTCTAATACATATTTCACCAACATATTTTTCTTAAAAGTCCCAAAAAATAAAAATAACCTTTGGTCTGTATTAAATTAACCATTTAAAAATTTATAATACTTTGTAATTATTTCTTTAAATGCTTAATAAATAATGAGATAAATCAATAATAACTAAATTTCTTACTTAAAAGTTTTTAAATATTTAGATAAATGTCCGTTATTGACTCTTTTTATATTTATTTTTATTTACTAGCTTGTGGTTTGGGAACACAAATAGAATTATTAGCCGCTGCCCATGCTCTCGATATTTGCATTTACGTCTATGGAAATGGTTATGGAGATAACTATAAATTTTATTGGACATTATTTCATCCAAATTGGCCTGAATTAGAAAATCTTGATATGAGTAATGAAAAATGTTTATATGTTTCAAAAGCATACTTCAGATATTATTTGAGTAACATTGAAGATGTATTTAAAAAAAAATAGTTATTTTGTTTTGTAATTGTAAATTGTATATTATTTTTGATACTAATAATAATGATAATTTATTTATTTCAACATTGATATATTTAAATTATTTGATTTTTAAAGGTTTAATAAGTTTATACACAATTTAAAATGAAAACATTGTAATTGTATACAATTAATCAAATATTTTGAACGTTTTAGATCTATTGGCAATGCTTATAACTTTTGATACAATTATTTTTTTCTTTCTTATAAGTGATAAATAATAAAAATATACTTTAAACAAACTCTAAGATAGCAATTTAAAGTTCAATAACATGATAATTGGGAAAGTTTACAAATATCATAAAAAAATAATCGAATTAATAGGCCATAACGGAAAATGTATAACTTTCATGGCGCATTGAATAATTCAAAAAGAAAGGGTCGCCAACTCACTGGGCGAGACAATGTATTGTGGGACCACAGTAGGATTAAAAAAATTTAATTTTGTGCATTAAAAACAATTTAATATAAAAAAAAAGGAAAAAATACTAAAATTGTATTTGATGTTTGTTGAATCATTTATAGTTGATGTACACCAAAATCTTGTGACAGTTGTTACATAACCATATTGATCGTACCTTATACACTAGGGGAGTTGAATTTTGAAAGAAAAAAAAAATACACGAGTCCATTGAAGATGGAACACGCCAAAAAAATAACATAATAGTTAACTTAAATTAAGGAGACTTTATTATAATACAAAAAAGGTAGTACGAGGCAAAAAACCNAAAATTTAAAAAAAAATGTAATGTTTGCGATAAAAATGACCTTTTATCGGGATGTTTTTTGTACTTAAAACTGCCATAACTTTTTCAAAAATGAACAAATAAAAATAATATTTTTTTGTATTGAAACCTTAGATATTTCCCTTTCATTTGATATAATTTTTTTTGAAAATCTAACACTTATTCTGCTCACTGAGGGAATTTAAAATAGTAATTTTTTTACAAAAAATAACTTTTTCAACTTGATTTTTGATAATGTTCCGGAAATACTGCGTCCTTTAAACATATATAAAATTAAAGCTTATTTTATGTACTACAAAATGAAAAAAAAAAATTTGTCCCGACGACCTATCTTCTATACGCAAATGGCTACCATATTCAAAAATATGCTATTTTTGTATGAAAATTATGGGTTTTGTATTTTATTTTAATAGAAGTTGATGTTGCTTTTGCAATTATCCAACAATTTTTTAAAATTAAACACTATCTACAGATTTGCATCGAAGCGTTTCTTATGATAGTGATTTTAATCACTGTCAGATTAAATCTAGACTGAACCCAACTATGCAATGTCTCCACTATGCCGCGACCCCACTGTGCTACTGTTTTTTTAATACTAATAATAATGATAATTTATTTATTTCAATATTGATATATTTAAATTATTTGATTTTTAAAGGTTTAATAAGTTTATACACAATTTAAAATGAAAACATTGTAATTGTATACAATTAATCAAATATTTTGAACGTTTTAGATCTATTGGCAATGCTTATAACTTTTGATACAATTATTTTTTTCTTTCTTATAAGTGATAAATAATAAAAATATACTTTAAACAAACTCTAAGATAGCAATTTAAAGTTCAATAACATGATAATTGGGAAAGGTTACAAATATCATAAAAAAATAATCGAATTAATAGGCCATAACGGAAAATGTATAACTTTCATGGCGCATTGAATAATTCAAAAAGAAAGGGTCGCCAACTCACTGGGCGAGACAATGTATTGTGGGACCACAGTAGGATTAAAAAAATTTAATTTTGTGCATTAAAAACAATTTAATATAAAAAAAAAGGAAAAAATACTAAAATTGTATTTGATGTTTGTTGAATCATTTATAGTTGATGTACACCAAAATCTTGTGACAGTTGTTACATAACCATATTGATCGTACCTTATACACTAGGGGAGTTGAATTTTGAAAGAAAAAAAATACACGAGTCCATTGAAGATGGAACACGCCAAAAAAATAACATAATAGTTAACTTAAATTAAGGAGACTTTATTATAATACAAAAAAGGTAGTACGAGGCAAAAAACCTCGTCTATAAATTAAAGGGGAACAGCGAAAAAAATAAAAACAGATATTAGTAAAAAAAAATAGTTACATTTACACTTTTACAATGAGATGATACGATGAACGTCTTTGGGTACCTGCAGGCTATTAATCACAGCATTACCGTTAAGCACGGTGGGTATACGTCCCAATTATGTGACTGGTTTTAAACAGTTAGAATTAGCTTTCAAGACATAGGGACACCCCGAAATAAAATGCACTACGTCACTACATTGTACTAATAATACATACGCATCACTCAATATCACATAAAATCTATATATAAAGATAATCACAAAAAAATACATATAACATGACAAGTGCTATTGTAACACGTCTGCAATGTTGAGGGACCTAAATAATAAAAAAAACCCAGCACAGGGGGGTCGCGGCACGTGGTTCCGTGGTATAGTTGGATCAAGTATAATAATATCTGACAGTGATTAAAATCACTATCAAAAATAAACGCTTCGATGCAATTCTTTAGATAGTGTTTAATTTTAAAAAAATTGGTGTTTTATTCCATAAGCTACATGATCTGCAGGTTCCAAATTAATATCTCGATTAAGATAAAGTATGTCGAATGAAAAAGGGTTTATTAAAAAATATTATTTCTCATAAAAAAATTGTGTGGATCCATACACTTTTCAATAAGTTATAGCATTATAAAGTTAAATATAATATAAATAATAAANGTGATGTTCAACCTTTTTTACTATGCGGCACACTTCATTTCCTACAAAATTTACGCGGCACACCAATCCATATAATATGCACATATTTTTATATATAATATATATATACTTTTACAATCAACTCTATTAGAGGGTTGATTATTGTAAATTGAATAAAATAATACAATAATGAAAAATTTGTTAGAAGAAATATGTATTTTAAATAATAATGTACAATGAAATGGTATTAATGAGACATTTGTCCCTGTCGTTTTGTGCATAAATGTTTTATTCGAGGGCGAATGGTAGACAAACTGACTCTTAGCTCTTCTTCAACAGATTGAAGTCGTTCTCTTTTTTTACTTTTTATTGTTGTGACTGCTGAGAATCCTTGTTCGCATAAGTACGATGTGGAGAATGGTAGTAAAATTTTTATTGCTTTTATTGATATTTCAGGAAATTCTGCTTGAGCATAAATCCAAAATTTGTTGAGGGCCATTTCTTTAAATTTCAACATCAATGTTCTATAATTTTTCAGGGAAACAAGATTGTATTCTTCAGCGAATGTCAGACCAATGACCTCGTCAACTGCCACACTAAATGGGTTTCGCACCCAGTCATAGGTTTCAATATTTANTTTCTATCATTTTTCAGGGAAACAAGATTGTCTTCTTCAGCGAATGTCAGACCAATGACCTCGTCAACTGCCACACTAAATGGGTTTCGCACCCAGTCATAGGTTTCAATATTTATGCTAGGAAAGTATTTTTTCATTTGGTCTTTTAGTAATATGATAGATTCGCTTATTAACGATATGAGAGTGGCGTCTACATCTCGCTCTGCAGTTCGTGGGAACATAGTCAATTTTTTTTTATCAACATGAGTTTTCCACATAGTTAATTTNTGTGGGAACGTAGTCAATTTTTTTTTATCAACATGAGTTTTCCACATAGTTAATTTTTCATGAAAAGCCATCATTTTGTCAGATGATGTTAGGATATTTTCATTACGACCTTGCATACTTGTATTTAATTTATTCAAAAGTTCAAAAATATCAGTTAAAAAAGAAACATTTGTCCACCACTTTTCATCTCCAAGAAAATCGTATTTCGATTCTTCTATTGTTAAAAATACAATTATTTCTTCTCTCAAATCATAAAAACGTGATAATACCCGGCCTCTTGATAACCATCTTATTGCACTGTGAAAAAGTAACTTTGATTTATCTGAATCCATACCTTCACAAATTTTTTCAAATAACCTCGACTTAAGTGAACTACTTTTAATAAAATTTATCTTTTTCACAACTTGATCCAAAACTTCTCTTAAATCACCTACCAACGTTTTTGCCACAAGGGCTTCTCTATGTAGAAAACAATGGGTAAAAATAATATTTTCATTTTTTTCCTTGGCAAAAGAAAAAAAGCCTTTGATTGAGCCAGTCATCGCGGGAGCTCCGTCGGTACATACTCCAATACATTTATCCCATGGTAAATTGGCAAATTTTATATAATGGTCCACGATTCCGAAAATGTCTTCACCTTTGGTTGTCTCTGGAAGTGTTTTACAACACAAAAAGTTTTCCACGATGTCTTCGTTGGCAACTATGCGTATAAAAACCAAAAGTTGTGCTTGTCCACTCATGTCAGTTGACTCATCTAGTTGTAATGAAAAAAATGGAGAGTCACGAGATTGTTGCAATACTTGTTCTTCAATATCTTCAGACATGTGCTCTATACGCCTACTGATGGTGTTGTCAGATATAGGAATTTTCAATACTTCTTTTTCAGCTTCTTCACCAAAAAGTGCTTTTAAAATTTCACAGCAAGCAGGTAAAATAAGTTTTTCTGCTATAGTGTGAGGTTTCATTTGTTTAGCTACAAGCTCTGCTACTAGATAACTAGCTTCTTGAGTTTTATCAGAAATGGTTACCATTTTTGTCATTTTTTTAGATTGTCGTGTTTCTGATTCTAGTAAACATTGAAAATATGAATCTTTATCAGCCAAATGAGAATGCTTGGTGGAAAAATGTCGTTTAAGTTTACTTGGAACCATTGATTCGTTGGATAATTTTTCGCCACATACAAGACACCCTGGACGAGGATCATCTACATTTCCGGACCAAGAAAATCCTATGTTTAAGTAATCTTCATGATATTGACGTCTGATATTTAATTTAGCTTTTTTCTTTGGTATTTCACTCACTGAAGTGCTGTCAGTTGAACGAATTATAAATGCATCCATTACAAAAAATACTATTTAAGTGTTATTTAAGTAAAATCATCAGTGCGATTGAGACGGCTGCGATGGTCAAACTAACATTAAATACTATTATAGTATTATGCGTATCTACGATTAATGATAAGCGATTAGCCTATGTTTATGTTTGTTAGTTATCCCTTTTCACCAAATATCGATAATAATACAGGTATCCATAAAATTATAAAACTATAAATAGATTTATCGCGGCACACCGGTTGAAAACCACTGAGTTATAGCATTATAAAGTTAAATATAATATAAAAAATAAAATCGAGAATTTTCACACAAAAATAGCATTCAGTAGCCATTTACGCCGTGAAGACAAGTCCAGAGGTCAAATTTTTTTTTTAAAATTAAAGTATATTACATAAGCTATAATTTAAGATATATATAAAAGTGTCAGACCTTCCGGAACATTTTCAAAAGATAATTTTTTATGAAAAAGTTGTCATTTTAAATCCCCCCCTATGATCAGAAAAAAGGTCAAATTTACAAAAAAAATATACCAAATATGTATACCAAGCATCTATAAAAAAAAAAAATTATATTCAGATGTTCATTTTTGAAAAAGTTACGGCACATTTTAGTAAAAAAAATTGAAAAAATTTCGAAAATTTTCAAAACCCAATCTCTATGGGCAGATAAAGGTCAAAAAACGTATTTTTTTTATTAAGTTTGATGTCTGTTTTCACCATGAAGATAAAATAAAGTCCGAAATTTTTTTTTACCATAATAATGTATATTACATTAGCTTTAATTTAAGATATATATAAAAGTGTCAGACTTTTCGGAACACTTTCAAAATTTAAGTTGAAAAAGTTAATTTTTTGTAAAAAAGTGGTCATTTTAAATCCCCCCCTGTGGGCAGATAAAGGGTCAAATTTACAAAAAAAATATATAAAATAAAAGGTAATGATATTATGCATCTATATAAAAAAAAATTATATTGATATGTTTATTTTTGAAAAAGTTATGGCACTTTTAAGTAAAAAAAATTGAAAAAATTTCGAAAATTAGCGATTTTTAAATTTGTAATTTTTTTGGAGGTTTCCCCCTTTTACGGGGAACGAGGGAATTTTTTTCAATTTTTAAGGGTAATGTCTTCGACTAGATACGATTTGTGATCTTTTGACGTATCATTGAAAGAAATCGGTTCGGTGAGAGCTGAGAAAAAGTGGTAACAGACACA